ATTTTAAATTTCAAGGGGTATATTTAGAAGAATATTTTACGAGAAAACATATGAAACCACTTTCAAAACTTCAAAGTCTTGTATAAACAGAGTTATAAATGTTTGAAGTTTCCAAATTTTGTCCGCCTTCTACTATTGACTCGATCCACTGTGAGGCGGCCAAGCCCGCGAAGCCAACATTCTGAGCATATACATATAATAGTCCCCCGCACGGACACCGAGCCGCGCCGCGCACCCAGCTCTCAGATGAATCATAACCTAAAACGTCCAGCGGACAATATTTTAGGTGTGTCTGGTTCCTGCGAGTGCCAGCAGCCAGCCTCCGAGGATTATGCGATCAACTATCAACTTCGATGTTACCTTCTTTTTTTTTATATATGTATGTGTGATTCTTCTTTTTCTTCCCTTTTATTACTGCAACACTCGGGCGTGTTGCCGCGCCGTGATCCGTAAAATCCTCCGCAAAAAGACGTTTAGGCTCCGTGATTTGTACGCTAAATGTGAGACTGGTATTTTTGGGGAGACTCACCTGGCTACTCTGCGGCTTTTGTAATGCATGCCACACGCCCTCCAGACGACTCCTAGGTCAGTAGCGCAGCCGGAAATTTTACAAGCGATTCGATCCGTGTTTGAACATTCTTTCTGCAAAAAATAAGATAAAAATACTATTAATATTTAAATTGAGGAAAAATACATTTTTGGGAGAGGACAGATGAGATAATTGGAGTTTTTGACCAGGTAGTTCTGGATCATACTCTATTCATTTACTATAACGAAGGAATGACATTTCAAAGTATTCTAGGCGTAGGGTATCTTTAAGCGTAATTTCACAGAAGTTAAGGAGGGGAAGCTGAAAGTACTGAACATTAAGCGAGGGGGCTCATACTCGCGAGGACACTCAGTGTTCTAGAGCATATGCATAATGGTTTGTATTGCATTTTGGCAATGATGTCGCGCATCAATGGTATATTCTTAATGTTTTTATTTTTTTTCATACATTTATATATGCTCATTCATTTTTTTACATATTGCACCTAGTAAAGTTGTCCGACACAACCTTCAAAAGCCAGAAAATCTGACAAAATGGATGATTTTCCGCAAAACGATGCTTTGCTCTTTCTCTACAAGAAAAGGAAATGAGTCGAGAAAAAAGTTGTGTGACGCAGATTTTAAAATTTTTCACTGGCCCTCGAACGACCTCTATCTCTAGTCCACAAGTTTGTAAATTGGAAATCAGGTTCGTTTTTAGAGCCTTGAAAACATCGCAAGGTGTGGCAAAACTGGAGGAGATCTCGATGCAACTTCCCCGTGCTGCCGCATCTCTTATCTTCTCTTCGCTGCCCTCTCCTTTAATTTTCGTTCTCTTGTCTTTGTCTTTATTTTTCACTTTTTCGAGTGAGAAGACAAGGAGAAAGATTTAAAGGTTGCCTGGGTACGAGAACACGACGAAATTAAGTTGCGCGCCGTGGTTCGCATCAAGATTTACCGCGCGCCATCAAACATCGACCGATAAAAAGCAGGCTAACCCTCTGGAGCGGCTGGTTCAACCACCCGTGGTTAGGATTGGACTCTCTTGATTAAAAGAGGTGCATGTTCTTCTGGAGACGATGGTCGAAGAGCTGCACTGCCCTGCTAAGGAAGAACGCCGTATGAACATTCAAGAGTTGCCAAATTTCCTCCGATAAAATGTTTATTTTTGAGGAAAATCATGAATATTTTCCCTTAAAATTTGTAGACGTTTTAGATCAATTTACCAACAAAATAATCCGAGAAATTGATAGAAAAAAATTCCAAGAATTTCCTAAAAATTGGTGATTTTCCAGAGGAAATTTAGCGACGGCTGAAGGCTCATACGGCGTTTTTCCTTAGCGCGGCAGTGCAGATCTCGACAATGTTCAAACCTCATTTACAGTACGTCCCATTCTGTAGTCTCTCTACACCCCCCTGCGCATTGCTATCCTCCTTTCTAGTCCTGGAATTTTCCCAGTTCCTAATTTTATCGATTTGTTGTAGCTAATAATTCATGGAAATTAGGCTGCTTGCAATTATCTGGAGGTCAAATTGGCGGATTACAGAGCTTCGCGCTATTCTCACTCACATAAGGCCAAATTTTGTATCGCAGTCTCGAAATCAAAATATTTCGAAACCTACTGGACAAAAATCGTTCTACCGAAAATTTTGTCCTTGGTGAAATTTTCTCCTACCCCGTAAACGGTCACATAATAGAAAGAAAAAATTTTGGCGTATTTATCAGAATGAGATACACTATTGGACTGCATTCACGGGAATCAACCTACCTGCATTAGATTTTGCCTGATCTCCTCTCGCGTTTTGATAACGAAAAAACTGATTTTCATTCAGTCTTAAAATTATGTGGGTAAGTGTGGGGGAAATTTTTTGAGAGTGTCAAGGCGTTATTTATCAAGGTGGAGAAATGGTGTGGACCCAGCACAATTTCTCCACCTTGTTACATACAGTTTCGAGCCACTTCTTAGTGTTTAATTTTTCATTTTTACGCACAGTTCGGCGTTATTTATCTTAGTACTCCTGTAAAAAAAATAAAAACCGAGAGAATATCATAGGCAACGGGAATTGTATTTAGGTTGATTCCGTCCATGGTTGCACAAATGACGTCACATTGACTCTCTCCACACCTCGGACGTTGAATCCGGCCGCGATCGGACGTGGAAACCCGGGCGGCGCTAACTAACGCTCCAGCGTTATCGTGGGAAAGGCGGCAACAGGCTCGCGGCTGTCGAGTTGAGTGGAGTTATTTTCGACACGGGGTAAAAATAGCCGTGGATTATGGGTATTCATTTCAGTGGCTCCTTTTTTCCGCCAAGCTCCGTTTTGTTTGCCCCCCGACACCCCCCTTTCCGGCTGCGAGCGCATTCGAGCCACCCCTTTCCTCTTTCCCGGCCGACTGCCCTCTCCTCTTGTTTCCCGGTGCATCAGTAGCGTGGCGTCAACGATCGATTATCGATATTTCCCCATTTGAAGCTATGGTAAAGAATCGATTATTAAAGTGTTCGTTGCGAGCGCCCTGTTTATCGATATTTTCCGTAGGTTTAAATGGCAGATCAATCGATTTATCGCAAAGCACGCCACGCCACTGCGGTGAATGTGCCACCGGAAGATGACCCTGCTTAACCCCGTTAATTCTCTCGTCCACTTCCACAGCAAAAACCCCGTGCGGATACTTTGGCGTTGCAAAACAACCCCTCATAAAATGCGAATTATCTGGAAATTCTCGGAATGTTCTCCGTTCAAATTGTCCGGAGTATTTTCTCGGCAATTTAATCTAGAACACTAAAAGAATCCCACGGGAAAATATTGAAAACTTTTCACTGAAATGAAGGTTTTATCGGAGGACCACCCTCTCAAACTCTTGGAAACGCATATTGCCTACCCTCTTAAATGGAGGAAAATTGAAAGCAAGAAGCCGCATCGCAAACAAACTGACTTAAGCATATTATGAACAATACGGATCTGAGGCCTAGAAGTCATTTTAAGTCGATATAGTCGTCATACGTCGATAATTTTTGTAGGATAACGCACAACGAAAACCTCGTGTCCACGACCGAATTATTATACGTAAATCAATTAAAATGCCATCGTTCTGCGCCTGTTTAAAAAACTTAAACTCGGAGGAGGGGTGATCATCGCTATCCTGAACTCTTTTTTTCTATTTGCCTACCATAGCAGAGCAACTGCACGGATCCACGGGTGGCACACTCTCCTAAACAAGAACAACGTAAATCAAGGGGAAATGTACCGAAGATTCGCCGTTTTTGCACTCGCAAATCTTCAAGTTGTAATTGAATAACCAGGCGCAGCTTCCGGCAGTAGGATTTACGCAGCTTTCATTCCACCTGCGAAAATGTAAAGCCAATACTAATAAAATCTCGGAGCACCGATTCAAACCAATCGATAACAGCCTGCAATCGATTAACACTCGCCCATTAACCGTTCATTTGAATTCTCGCGCATGCGCGGCGCG